TTTTAAATATTAAAAAAAATAAATCATAACTAAATTTATACTATTTTTAAGCTAAAATTGTTACACAAACTCTACAGTTTAAGGGATATATTCGTCAAGAGCTTATAGAATTTTATCTTTAAAACAGGAAAGGTTGACTAGAGTTATCACAATATTGTTAATTAAATTTATAAGAAATTGTAATTAAAAAAAAAAAAAACAAAGCGATAAAAAAGATTTACTTCAAAATTTTAATCAGCAGTATATTATGACTAATGCGACTTACAACAAAATGATTATCTATTATAGCAAGCACAGTAACTACAATTGACAGCTAGCACTTAACCCATATTCGTGTAATTTGAGAATCCCAAATGTTTGTATAATCGATGGAATTGGTATTAGACAATCATTACATTCTTATATGGCAGTACTCAAGCAATTTGAGACAAAACGTAAAAAAATCAAAGTGCTAATTATTTTCAATTTCGTTCAAAAAAAAGCCTATATGCTAACTAGGCTTAAGATAATAGGCTATCATAATACGTAATTAGATATATAGTTCACTATAATTAAAGTAGTTGCATCATTAGTTAAAAATTCAATTGAGAATCAGCTTACCTATACAAATTATCTAGATTCAGAAATAACTAATAATTTATAAAAAAAATAGCAATAGAGTATTTACGATATTTTTGAAAAATTATATAGTAGAATGAATCTAATATAAATTTTATTCTAAAAATTTATATATTCGGTCATTGGTCAATTGCAATTATTAATTAATTTCGGTTGCTTCATTACTGTACATTTCTCCGTAGTACTCTATATCCATTATATTTTCTTTATAATAATCCAAATCATAATAATCCAGATTATTATCATTCTGCTCATTATCTATTTCACCATTATCCATTTCACTATTATTTGTTTCACCATTATCCATTTCATCATCATCTAGCTCACCATCATTTGGCTCACTATCATCATGATTCGACTCTTCTGCTTGTGTGTCTTCAATTGGCAGTTCGTTCAAACAATTTTCAACAATAGCTTTAAGGCGGCCTGATATCATATCATCTTCACTACCATCTGGATTAAGTACAAGTCCAGATGCTTCAAACGATTTGATTAAAAGATTTGAGCTGATTTCTCTCCATGTTTCAGACACCAATTCATACACGAGTTTATATGATGCTTTTTTTAGATTTCCTTTTTTAGTATACTTTTTTTCTCCTTTATCCATCCATTCTTCCCATTTATTTCTCATTCTGTTTTTAAAAGGCTTATTAACAGAGATGTCTAGTGGTTGTAAAACACTAGTAGTACCCCTGGGTATTTCTAACATATCTAAGCCTTCTGCCTTCAATGCTCTAGTTACATCATCACGATTATAGCTATGATGTGCATCTAAAAAAATTATGCCTTTGTTTTTAAAAAATCCATTTGGCCTAGCTCTAATAGTTCATGGAATATATGTGGAAATCATCAAATTTCCAGTCATGCATGCAGAAGGTGCAGTTGTTATTACAATATCTCGTAGGAATCTGCCTTTTGGATTCTTTTTTAACTTGAAGATTACTGTAGGTGGGAGTTTCTCCCGGCTGCTATATAACCTAAAACTACTATAAATCATAATTTTTCATTGCTAGTAGTCTTAACTGACACTTTGTGAGTATCTTTAAAATCAATTGTCGAATCCCGTGGCATATCAAACCATATAGAAGTCTTATCAAATAATAAAATTTTTTTTTTTTTCAATACTATATGTTTTTTCACGCGACATTTTAAGAAAATTTTTGATGATTACAAGAATATCTTCAGGGACTTTCTGAGCTACTTGTGTTCGAGCACGCTTCACTAGCTTATTTCGTTGTTTAAACCGTTTAGTCCAATTATAGGAAAACTTCATACCTCTAATATCCATAGTTTCACTTAAACTTTTGGCTTTTTTTATAATCATCGATGTCGTTACTGTTTCTTTTTCTTCTCTTTTCTTTTTGACAAACTCTATCAATTCTTTTTCTAACATAGGGTACACCACCTTACGACTACAACCTTCAAGAACTTGTATTTGCGTTATATTCAAATTTTTATCATTCTTAATATTTTCGAACTTTTGCTTCTGCTCGCGCTATTCCAAAACACGCCTTCTGTCAACTTTATAATATAGAGAAGCTTTACGATTCGAGGTGGTTTCTGCATACAAGATAACTTCAAGTTTGAATTCAATAGTAAAACTTCATTTTGTATTCATGTTCGCTTACAAACAAAGACAGAATAAACAACTTGTACACGAAACTAATAATGATAACGTTACATTTTTATATCATACTGGTAAGTATCTGTAATACAAAAAAAATTACATACGTACCAGCATTACAAACTATTTCACGAGTTTTCAATATTATTACATTATTTGGTTTATAGTATGGTAAGTTGCTTTTTTTTTTTATGAAAATGCATTGTTAGAAAAATAATTATATTTTAAAGGCAGCAAGCGATTACAAGAACGAATTGAAAAATTCTTAAAAAATATATATATATATATATATATACCAGAGATTTCAAAATATGTAATTTTACTAGACAAACCTGCTTTTTATATCAATAATGTAGTATTACATAAGTATTAGTACATTTATAATTACACTAAAAAAAAACTAGAAATTATATACCTAATTGAGGTTAAAAGGTACTGCATATATATTGAATGCATGGCTACAAGGAATTGAGTAGAGGCATTGTTCTAAGAAGTAAAGTAACTATTCCTGATTTTCTTTTAAAAAATTAGCCCTTCCAGAAAGATATTACATACAGTATGTGTATTATGAAAGACCGATACATAAATATAAAAAAGACGTTCTTTTTTGAATTTGTATAAGAAACCACTTGGACTAACAAAAAGTTTCCCTTGAACCTAAACCCAAACCTTAATTGGGCACTCACCCTAACCCTAATCTAAAGCTGCAACGAATAAATCAGATTCTAATAAGTAAAAAAAGTAGGTATTTTACTCTAATTAAACCTTTTTATTAGATGAAATCATTTCAAGCAAACAGATCTTTTATGAAGGTACAAGTGTGAAATTTAAGTGCAATCTCTTATTTAAATAAAATTGAATTGATAACTTTTTGATTAAATGTCATAGCATTTGAATAAAAATAAAAATAGTCACATAACTGGCTTTTTCGTACAAATTCACAATTCAGTTTGCTGAATATTGTTAGTAGATTACAAGTGCAATAATATGATAATAAAACAACTCATATTTTAGGCGTTTTTAAATAGTGTCTATTTTCTGGATTTTTGGTATTGTTTTTTATCAGAAACAGAATGATGTTGAAAATTTGGCGAATTGTATGGTTATATTATACAAAATATACAATGCACATGGGCCTTATTTAGAAAAATTGGCCTCAAGTTTATACATGCGCATTATTTAAAAACCCAGATTTAGTAAAAATTTACTTATTGTCTCAAAATAACACACATGCACATACTCTAAATAACACGCAACGCATATACTCAAAATAACGCGCAGATGGGCGTTATTATGTGAAAATACGGTAACTATAGAAGTTCCAAAGCAAACAAGAAGTGGATATTCAAGATCAAATGCCTAAAAAATCTACTTTTAATAATGCAAACTCTATATTAAAGTAAAATTTGTTAGCAGTATTATCAAAAAAGAGAAAAGCACTTTATTCAAAGAAAAGACCAAAACAGAGAAAACAAGGCTCAAAATATTAAACATTAAAAATACTAAAAAAATAACTTTTGGTAATAACTTACAAGAAAAACCGGCTGCTAGAAAAGAATTGATGAAAGGTCTAAAGGGCATACTATTTATTAGCTATTGTTTTTTTTTTTTTTAATAATTTGATAGTCATGCTTTAACTTTATTAGACTTTGTACAACTTATCTAGAATATGTAAAATTTTACAACCAAGCATTTCAGAAGGTAAGTAATAAACTCTTAACTTGTCAGCAGATAGTGTATAAGAACTATCTCTAAATGACAAGCACCATAGCCCAAATTGTTATCTAAATTACAAGTTACAACTAACCCAGTTACCAACTTGGTACCTATGTTTGATCTGCTATAGTAGGATTCTCCTCCTTCTGAACCTTTCCTGCAATTGGATATGACCTGAATTTTAACAGATAGTATCTACTACCTGTTATGATCACCTTTTCCTTCTTTTAGACTTTTTTCACCTAAGCTTAACAACATAATTAAACTCTTATTCATATATAAAAGTAAAAAAATAAAATAAAGCTATGTTTATAAAAGACATAAACATTTTAGAAAAAAAACATCTCACAGTGAAAAAAAAACTAATTCTAAAATAATCTAATATAAATGAACAAAGATAAAAAAAGCAAAAAAAAAAAAAATAGCTATAATACACTATTATAGCTCATGCTAGGCATAAGGATAAAAATTATATAATAATTGCAACTAATTACTATATCTCGATTGTAAAAACTTCATTTTAACTTTGAAACTTGTTTTGAATATTAACTCGACTTGGGTATTTTCTAAATGGAGGTGAAGATCTTTTTCTCATACTGTAGTACCATATTCACAAAATAACAAAACACATAGTTGCCTTCTACTGAATTCATCCAGATTTGGTAGATGTAAACAATGCCGATCTTTTGAAGAGGTAAGCCAAAAAACTCACTTTTTTTTGAAAATTTTGGTAAGAATAGCAAAAAACAAAAACAAGAAAGAGACTTCTTAGTACTATTTAAAAGAGAGTAAGTTACTAAAAACAACAAAAACAGCCTTCCACCCAGATAGTATACTACTCAAATTTTGTTAGTAAGTAATAAACTCTAAACTTGTCAGCAGATAGCATATGAGAACTACCTCTAAACAGCAAGTATCAGGTTTGCAGTAAGTGATAAACTTTAAAACTATTAGCAAGTAGCATATGAAAACTATCTCTAAATAACAGTTGCTGTTTTATAATTCTTTTTTTCTTTGGTTTATAACCTGGGAGATTGGTTTTTACTGTTTTTGTTGAAAAGTTTTTTTAGAAAAATTTGAACTAAATAATCGTTAGAAAGAGTTGATTTTCAATATTTTTCTATTAAAAGGCTATTTCCCTTCTACCTGATTTTAAATAAAAAATTTTAATTAGCTAAAACTATATACCTGATAATTCCTTGTCCCCTCCTTTCTAAAATATTAGCTAATTTCTGACACTCCCCTAATTACAAAACAAAAATTGGAAAAATATAATTGGTCTTTTGGAAAGCTATAAAGATTAGTGAGTTCTGCCAAGTAATACAGTACTTGACCATTTTAAAAACCATTTCTACAAGTATATTTAGAGCTTTTAATACAAATTAGTAGCTGAATAGAAAGAAGAGTATAGTATAACAAAAGAGGAAAAAGAGCAAAAGAGAAGAGAAAGAAAGAAAACATCCCAAATAAGTTCAATAATTTACAAGGCTCTGAGCATACTGTGGTAAAAAGTAAGAGCCAAAAACAGGAGAAAGAAACAAAGCTTGAGGTAGCAAAGAAAAAAGAAAAAATAGTAGAAGAATAGATCTCATAGAAAAACAAACTAGCATGGTCTTTACTGATAAAAGTTAGTCTGAATACTAAACATTACTAATATGGCATACAACAGCCAATCGATGATCAAAAGAATATCTTTAATTAATACAAAATTCTTAGTAATTTAAAAATTTTAAAAAAGATAAATAGTTGTTATAGCAGATCACATTGGGCAATAAGCCTAGTAAGTCTGTTTTTTTTTTTTTTTAAACAATTCTGCTTCTATTTATTTTATGAACTACTATAAGATTATTATTATTATACAAATAATAACCAAAATAGTGTGGTGTTCTATCCTAATAGAAACTTACCAAGCATACAGAGTACTGCCCAATACGACCTGCTATAACAACTATTTGTCTTACAAAGAGATTTAAAACTCGCTTCAGATTTCATATCGACTAAGAATACCCCTCGATTATTTGACAAGTTGTTGTATACTGTGTCAAGATCTTCTGTTCTTTCTTTAATTATCTCCTACTTTTTTACAAGCTAAGAATATATATGCCATGTTTACAAAAGAAAAATTATATCTAGAAGAAGAAAGAATAAAAAACAGAATATACACAGAATGTATTCTAAATAAGATTCCATTATAAATGAACAAAGATAAAAAAAGGTCAGGAAACCCTAATACACACTATTATAACCTGTGCCAGGTTTTTGAAAAAATTATATGACAAATACAATATCTGCATATCTTTGCTATAAAGCTAAGCTTTAACTTTAATTTTATTCCACCATATATAATCAAAAATTTCTAGCTTTCGCAGCTCCAGGTCCTATCCCTAAAGTGGTTGCTGCTGCTATTATATGTCTTCAAAACTCTCACAAGAGATTTTAGAGATAGTCTGGTTCGAAATAGTAGCACTGTTTTCATATTTGGCCTAGGTACATAGTTGTACTCCATTGCATTATCTGAATTTGGTTGCTGTAAACAATATCAATCTTTTGTCAGGGTAAGCTATTTTGCCCACTTTTTTCAAATTTTTTGTTGCTATAACAAGTGGGTGGTGTTTGAGAATTTTTGTCATCATACTTAGTCTTTTTGATACAAAGGAGTAAAGGTTACTAAAGACAGTATACCAATACATTCACCCAAAGAGAACTCTTCTTTTTGATAAGTGATAAACTCTAAAACTGTTGGCAAGTAGTGTATAAGAACTACTTCTAAACAACAGTTGCCGTTCCTGCAGTAAGTGATAAACTCTGAGCCTACTGGCAGGTAGAATAAGCCTGATAAGTCTTTGTTAGAATAGAATGATAGACTATATTAATAATACTTTTGTATAATAATTATATAGTAGTTTATAAAATAAATAAAAGCAGAATCACTTAAAAAAAAATAATAATAATTACAACTTTTTCTAATAATTACTTGAACCAAAATTCTTACTAACAAAAAAACATAAATTTATTGGAGAGTTGTGGTCTACAAGTTAGTAGTTTGTCTAAAGATCAATATTTTGCTATATAGAACTTTTCTATAATGAATATTGTGCATACAAGCCAAGAGCATTATTATACAATATAACTAGCAAGAAGTGCTTTTGTATAAAGAATCTTGATAAAAGGTAGAGACTCTAGTAGATAACCAACTTTATCAATAAAGCTTGTAGATTGTTATTTTAGTTAAAGAACACAAAAAAAATAACAAATTAAATATTACTTTTAAGCCACACTTCTTTTACTTGATTAAGTAACTCCTTTATTACTTATTTTCATCTTTTTGTTAGTTTTTTTAAAAATTTTTAAAAAAAATAAGAATTTGGTTTATCTTTTTCAAAAGATCAGCATTGTTTGTA